CACCCCCGTCTTGCCTGTGTCCATTAGTTAGGCTTATATGCATGAATAGATAACATTTTGTTGATCTCTTCACCTTTTTCATTTAAGTTAGTGTACTTTTCAATTCCAAGATTGCCTTTTGGTTTCTTTTTAGGTTTTCCGTCTCTGAATTGATATTCACATTGTATTCATTCTGTTAGGGTTTGGCCAGGGACATGGGCTGTGAAAGAATTCACAACTGAGAAAGGAATAGATGCAGAGAGAGGGAGTTTATTTTATTTTCCAAGGGAGGAAAGGGCCAGGCGCCTTTTGGCAGCACAGGGGGCCCAAGGTGGGGGTTGTTCTTCTGTAAGCATATTAGGGAGTAAATGGCAGCTGTGGCAAATTGGTGAAGAAGGGAGGGGGATCGGGGACTTCACCTTGACGTCTTCCAGATCCTGGAGGCTGTCCTGAGGAGCTATGGCTTGTTTGTCCTTTAGCCACAGATGTCCTACAGAGGTGTCTGTTAGCGTCTTCAGAAGCCGGTAAAACCTTCTTACAGGGAAAGTTACGAAGGGTTCAAGGCAGGGGCAGGGCGCCTTGGGTTTGAAAGGGAGGGAGTAGAGCTCTTCTACTAACTAGAAACTTTCTGATGTAATTTCCCTGGAATCATTACAATGCAGGGAAGGAGGTAATGGGGGAGGAGCAGCCCTCTTTTCAAGCCTGCCTGACTAGAGAGGCACTTTGAATAGGGAAGTCTGCAGTCTCCACATGCTTCTCATGGCTTATGCAAGGTTACCATGAGGGAAAAGAGGCCTTTTCTTGTCCTCATACATTCATTGTTTTTCTTGATTGTCAACATTTCTTCCGTTAGTTCTTTGAGCATCCAGGTAGCAGTTATTTTACAGTCTTTGTGTATTTGGTCTGGAATGAGGTCTTTCTCAGCGATGATTTCTGTTAATCTTTTTCTTTGAAGGCACCACACTCTCCTGTTTCTTTGTGTGCCTGTGATTCTTTTATTGAACCGGACACGTGAATTCTAATAACGAGGTAACTCTGGGAGTCAGATTCTCCTTCCCAGGGCTTGTTATTTTCTTAGCTCGTTTCAGTGTTTTGATTGTTGTAGGGTCTGAGGATCAGCCAGATACATAACCTGAAGGTCTCAGGTCTTTCTGAGCCTTTCCCTGGTCAGGCACAGTCACCTAATTTCCCCCACCTGTGCCTGTCCGAGATTTGCTGTCTGTCTCCTGAAAGGGGAAAAAGCAAAAATTGAAAGGGAAGCAAAGGACACTGGATCCTTAAATATCTGGAAGTCACTTCAGTAGGCAATAAATGGGCTTGCAAGAATGGGGGACATGTGACAATAATGACTGCCCACTTGGTGTCTTTGAGTTAGTGTTTTTTTTTGTGATCAGAAGTAGCAGTCAGTAATAAGTGCATAAATCCCTGGTACCTGTGAGGACAGGGTTCTTTTTTCACTCCCTGGTTCCTACAGGCTGTTGATAAGCTGCCCCAGGAGCATGTGCATAGCTGCCTGCTGTGGGAGTGGGATGGGTAGCAGCCATTGTGCAGAGAGCTGAAAGTGACTGATATTAAATCAATTTCCATGTCCAAGTCCTGCCTTAGAAACTACAAACCTTTCAGGGACACCAGAGTTGCAAAATAGTTACATCATTCACATTCTAGCATTGTAATTGTTGTTTGGGAGGGAAGAGAGATTCTTGGTGCTTCCTACCTTACCATCATCCCCGACCCCTCTCCTAATCTGTAATAATAAAAGGGTAATATGCTAATTAGACCAGATGTTCTTCCTGATGACATGGATGAAGCCAGGGCTGCAAGAGAAGCCCAGGTCCCGGGTGCCAGAGAGAAAGAGAGATCAGTTGTGAGAGAAGCCTTAATTCGTTGCCTCCTCTACACATCCAGACTGGATTGGGCCCGAAACCTGGGTGTGTGCCCTGACCAGGAATCAAACCACCACCTTTTGGTTATAGGAGGACACT